AGCATACTGGTCGGTGGGAGGCTATTGGTGGTAGTAGGCGGTCCCACAAGTACCCAGGTCCTGAGCCATGGAGCGCTTTAAAGGTGGTAACCAAAACCTTGAAGCGCACCCGGAAGACCACCGGGAGCCAGTGCAGCTCGCGCAGGAGGGGTGTTACATGGGAGCGCCATGCCGCTCCCATAACCACCCGCGCGGCAGCACTCTGCGCCAGTTGGAGCCTCCGGGTGCTCCTCAAGGGGAGCCCCATGTAGAGAGCGTTGCAATAGTCCAGGCGGAAAGTGACGAGGGCATGAGTGACTGTGCGTAAGGAGTCCCGATCCAGAAAGGGACGCAACTGGCGGATCAGGCGAACCTGATGAAAAATCCTCCCGGTCACGGCCATCAAGTGCTCTTCTAAAGACAGCCGTGAGTCCAGGAGGACGCCCAAGTTGCGAGCCCTCTCCCTGGGGGCCAATGCTTCGCCCCCAATAGTCAGCGATGGCACCAGCTGACTATATCGGGACGTCGGAAACCACAGCCACTCGGTCTTGGATGGGTTGAGCCTGAGCCTGTTCCTCCCCATCCAGATCCGCACGGCCTCCAGGCACCGGGACATCACTTCAAGGGCATCATTGGGGTGATCCGGGGTGGAGATGTACAGCTGGGTGTCGTCAGCGTACTGATGGTACTTCACCCCGAAACCATGGATGATCTCGCCCAGCGGCTTCACATAAATGTTGAACAAAAGGGGCGAGAGGACCGATCCCTGCGGCACCCCACATATGAGGGGCCTCGGGGTCGACCTCTGCCCCCCCTGTCAACACAGACTGCGACCGGTCAGAGAGAAAGGAGGAGAACCACCGCAACACAGTGCCTCCCACCCCTAACTCTTCCAACCGGTGCAGCATGATACCATGGTCGATGGTATCAAAAGCCACTGAGAGATCTAACAGGACCAGGACAGAGGAGCACCCCCTGTCCCGAGCCCTCCAGAGATCATCTACCAATGCGACCAATGCCGTTTCCGTGCTGTACCCGGGCCTGAAGCCCGACTGGAACGGATCCAGATACATCGTTTCATCCAGGTGCTGGGGGAGCTGTCGTGCAACCACACTCTCAACAACCTTCGCCACAAAGCGAACAATAGTTTACCAACATTGCCGGGTCCAGGGAAGGCTTCTTGAGGAGAGGCCTCACCACCGCCTCTTTCCGGTCTTCTCCAATTCTTCATCTTCTATTCTGCCTGGTATAATCCAATTATCCACACTTTCTTCTTTTCAATCACAGTTAAATCTGCCGTGTGCCAAGAGCTCGTCGGCTTGTATGGAGAAATCCCGCAACATTTTCAACCTGCTCATTTCCAAATACATTCACAAACTTCACTACCAATTTTCTATTACTGGCACACAGTACCTTTTACAAATATTCCTGTGGATCACTTTGGCTATTGTGTTATGTGGTTGTTTTATTATTCGTTTGTGCAATCTTCTTGCATAAGCTGAGCATATGATTTACTGTTTCTTCTGCTTCTCTGCGCAACCTGCACTTTGAATTATTGGTTGACCAAAATCAAGCCTTCAGTTTCTCTCTTTCTTTTTTAATATTCTAGTTGGAAGGCATGGCCAATTCTATCTTTATCCACTCTCCCCTCAATTTTTTGTAGAAATTGATCATGTAATGCTTTTCCTTGCCAGCATTCAGGTATTTTTTTTAAAAAAATAATAATTGTTATTGCATATTTTGCATGATTGTATATTGCATTTGAGGATAACTTCAAAGCCAAGGTTAACATGTGGGCAAAAAAATAATAATAATAAAGAAATGAAGAGGAAAATTGGGATAGCTGGTGATAGGGTATGGCTACGGAAATATCTCCTAAAATATGTCATTGATCTGTTCAGCATCTTATATACTGTACCTCCCGCCTGTTTAGAATCAAGGAAGTTTACAGCATGTCATTTCTATGATACATGACATAATGTGAAAAAGCAAAAATGCACAGTGTGTAACTCCCTATTACCTTGGTTATTGCCTTGTAGATGTTTCATGATCCAACTAGATAACATCATCGGGGTTAGAAAGGAGTGTATTGGGGCCCGTCAGCGGACTGTGCGGATTGTAGCTGATTCAGACAGCGAGGAGGCTGGTGTGGTGCTGCGCCAGCAGCCTGTGCAGCTGGCACTCGAGTCGGACAATGAGGAGGCTGGAGAAGATGTGGGGGATTCAGCCAGGGCCTTCAGAACCTCCAGAAGCTCCCATAAGTGAAGAGGAAGAAGAGGAGGAGCCTCTTCTCAATGCACGGGCGCGCAGAGCTGCCAAAAGGCAGGAGTGGCTCCTCAGGAGGAGGTCTCCTCGAGAGTAAGGCTTGGGGCTAATCGGCCACTCCCTTAGCCTATTTAAGGAGGAATGCCGACTGAAGCAATTTGCAGGGAACAACTTCAGTTCAGTCTCCTTCGCGTCTGGATTCTCTGCAAAATTGCTTCTGGGCTTTCTGCCAACCTTAGTAAGATTGTGATTACTTTATCTTTGGTTTCTTGTAGGCTGTTAAGAAAGTTTATTAACAGCCTTTGTTTGGAAGAGACTGAGTTATTTTAGTAAATTTAAGTTTGGTACAGACTTTGTGTGTGCTGCGTTCTTTGGGGTCCGTAGCTGGGGCAGAACAGAGTGGGGTTTGCTCTCTGTTTACATACAGTATAATATCATTCTGTTCTGGCACGGATGATGTTCCCTATCTGGGTAATGAAACGTCTGCAAGAAAACCAACAAGCTCAGACAGCACCAAGGACCCCACAGTCTTCCTCCTCCTCCTCTCCACAAACCCCACTCCCTTCTAGCATGGATGATGTTCCCTAGTTGGGTCATGAAATGTCTGCAAGGAAGCCACCAAGCTCAAGGACCCTGCAGTCTTCCTCCTCCCCCCTCCCACCCTCCTTCCCTCTGAAAACCTCCGTCTCTTTAGCACTGATGATGTTCCCTAGTTGGGTCATTTCATTTTTCTGCAAGAAAACCACCCAGCTCAGAGAGCCCCAAGGACCCTCAGTACTCCCCTCCTCCTCCTCCTCCTCCTCCTCCCTTCTTTCAGAGACAGCAAAGTCACGCAAGAACATTCTCCAAATGTTACAGAGCTAAGGCCTCATGCAAGCCATTTTTTCCCTGAGACGTACCCGGTTCTGTGGCAGAACGTTCATTTGACAAAATCCTGCTGCATTTCAAACAATAATGAATACTCAGAATATAAGTTGGGTAAATTTTAGTGCACTATTTTAAACCTAACCATCGGTGTGCATATTGTTTCTCCTGTTATATGTTCACTCCTGAAGCAATTATAATTCTGCATAATTGCAGTTTTCCTCCTGTTTGATTAATGGGCTGCATGAAACCATTTTTAATAACCAGTTTAATAATGAACCTGTTTTTTTTTTTTTTTTTCCATGAGTGCTGTTTTACACAGGCTGGAGGTTGTTTGCTTTGTATCTCATTTTTGACTATATATATATATATTTAATTTGATTTATATGCTGCCCTTCTCCAGAGACTCAGGGCGGCTTACAATGCGTTAAGCAATAACCTTCATACTTTTTGTATATTTTATACAAAGTCAGCTTATTGCCCCCACAAACCGGGTCCTCATTTCACCTACCTTAGAAAGGATGGAAGGCTGAGTCAACCTTGAGCCTTGGCGAGATTCGAACCCTGCAGTAATTGCAGGCAGCTGGTCTTAATAACAGGGTGCTTTAGACCACTGTACTACCAAGGCTCTTTATATGTGTTGTTTCTTTGTGCAACACATAACAGACACCACGTATGATTGGAATGTGTTTTTTTTTAATGAATGAATTTGAAAAGAAATGTTTCTCTTTGGTCAAGGATGTGTGTGTGTGTGTGACACACGCACGCACGCATGCACATATACTGGGAGAGCCAAATTAAGCATTTCCTGGGTTTTGGGCATGCTGAGCCCAAAAGATTTCCGCATCACTGCTGTAACAGGTGAAGCCAGCTTTCCGGATGCAGGCTGTTCTGACAACCACTTTGGCAAAACTGACCCACAATCAGCAACGCAGAGGTTTCTGCATCTCAGCTCGGACTGGCAAGCCTGCAAGTTGGAGGCTGGTGTGGTGTGGTTGCTACCTCAGACCCTCGATGGCAGGGGTGGGCAACAATTGCCCCCTTCCAACCTGTGGACTTCAACTCCCAGAATTCTTGAACCAGCAGGAATTCCTTCCTTCCTTCCTTCCTTCCTTCCTTCCTTCCTTCCTTCCCATTCCCATTTCCTTCCTTCCTTCCTTCCTTCCTTCCTTCCTTCCTTCCTTCCTTCCTTCCTTCCTTCCTTCCTTCCTTCCCATTCCCATTCCCATTCCCATTTCCCTCCCTCTCTCCCTCCCTCCTTCCTTTAAAATGTTTAAATTGTCTTCTCCATGTCTGGCTCAGGAATTGTGGGAGTTGAAGTCAACAGGTAGTAAAGGGACTAGAAGTTGCCCAGCCCTGCACTATGGAACCCCACCACCTCCTGAGCAGTCGCGGGGGTGGGGGGGCTTTCTTCCAAAACCAATGTTAGTAATGCCAGGGCGCCCTTCAGGGGGGGGGGGGGGGGGGTCTGGTCTCCCTTGGCAGACCTTCAGCGACAAACCAGCCCTGCTAGGGAGGCCTCTTAGCACCCATCACCCCCAAGACCAGCACTATACATCACCTGTGCAAGAGGTTTGTCTTCCCCTCCGCAGAAGAAAAGCTGGAAACCCCCCTTCCGCCCCCCCCTCACAGTGCCCGGCTGGCCCATCCGAGGGCTGGCAAGATAGGTGTGCCCCCCCCACCCCCACCTGCCATGTCGGGGGGGGGGAGGCTTTGTTGCTCGGGCGCCCGCCAGCCCAAAGCCCCGCGTGCCTCCTCCTCCTCCGCGGGGGTGGGCAGGGGTGTCTCTCTCTGAAGTGGGGTGGGCCGAGTTGGCACCAGCGGAGCTAGAGACGGCTCCTCCGCCCCCGCCTCCCCTTGCCTGGCGTGGCCCCTTCCCCCCTCCCGGGCAGCGCTCGGCTGCTCCGCGTCACCGCTTTGACAGGCTGGCACCGAGACGGGCGCAGCAACCTGGGCGCCTCCTCGCCTCCCGCCCGCCCCGTCGAGGGCCGCCGCCGCCGCCGCTCGCCCGAAGCCTCGACGGAGCCCAGGCAGGGGAGGGGGCTGGATCCGATCCCCCCGCCCCGGCCGCTCAGATGGTAAGTGGGGAGCCCGCCCGAAGGGGAGGGGGCCTTTTCTCCTCCCCCACCCTCGGTTGCGGGGCTCAGCATTTGCAACCAGGCGCCCGCGCTCTGCTGGCGGGGCCGCTCGCCCCAAACCTTCCCCCTTGCGCTGGCTCCGCCGGGCGAGGAGGCTGCAGGGGGGTCGCCAAGCGGCCGGACGGGACCCGCACCTGCCCTGCCCGGCTCCTCCTCCTCCTCCTGCCTCTCTCCTGCCCAGAGCAGCGCCGCGCCCTGCCAAGAGCCACCGCCGGCGCTGGCGGGGGGCCCGGCCCACCTCCTCCCCTGGACCCCCTCGACGGCCGAGGTTGCCTCGGAGACGTGGCTCGACGCGGTCTGGGCCGCCGCCGCCGCCGCCGCCGCTCTCCCCGACCACCCCGCCGCGGCCAGCGGAGGTAAGTCTCGGCTGCCGTCCAGGCGAGGGAGAGGCACCCGGAGGGATGCCGCTGCTGGCCGCGCAGGGGCGCTTCTGCCCCGCGGTCCCTCCGCGGCTTTTTGCAGACGGGAGGCTCAGGGATGGGATGGGGGTGGGGCGGGAGGAGGGGGCCCTCCGAAGGCCCCCACTCCAGAGAGAGAAGGAGAGGGGAGGAAGGAGGGAGGGAGGGAGAGAAGAGGAGGGAGGGAGGGAGGGAGAGGAAAAGGGAGAGAAAGAGAGAGAGACAGGGAGGAGAGAAGAAGGGAAGGAGAAAGAGAGAAAGGAGGGGAGGGAGGGAGGGGGGAGAGGGGGGAGATAAAGGGTGAGAGAGAGTCCCTCCGGCCTTGCAGAGTCCTCCACTCCAGAGAGAGAGACAGAGAGGGGGAGAAGGAGGGAGGAGAGAGAGGGAGGAGGGAGAAAAAGAGAGAAAGGGAGAGAGAGAGGAGGGAAGAGAGAAAGAAAGAGAGAGGAGGGAGGGAGAGAGAGAGAGGGAAAAAGGAGGGAAGAGAGAGAGAAAGAGAGAGAAAGGAAGAGAAACAGGAAGGAAAGAGAGGGAAGGAGATAGAAGGAAGGAGGGAGAGAGAAAGGATGGGAGGAGGGAGGGAGGGAGAGAGGGAGAGAGGGATAAAGGAGGGAGGAGAGAGAAAAAGAGAGAAAGGGAGAGAAACAGGGAGGAGAGAGAGAGAAGAGGGAGTAGAGAGAGGGAGGAGGGACGGAGAGAGGGGGGGAGGAAGATAAAGGGGGGGAGAGAGCAGGGGCCTGTGCCCACCTGCACCCCATCCCATCTGGGCATCAAAGCTTCAGGAGATACTTGGCACTGCCGGTCCCTCCAATAGGAGCGGAGACCCCTTCAGGGAGGGGGAGGGGAGGGTCTGGAGCAGTCCCTCCTAATGCGGATTGAGCCCTAAGGAATACCTGGCAGGTTCAGGTGAGGGATAGATGATCCTCCAGATACCAAGGCAGTTTTCCTCTTAAGTGCTGAATGGTGGTGGGAGGGGCAACCCAAATGGCCCCTTGGCTCCCATCCGAGTTGAGGGACCAGTCTTGGGCTCTCTAAGAACCCCTCCTCGGCCCACCACAATCCAATCGTATCAAGGCTGGGGAATTCTGGGAGTTGAAGTCCAGACACCTTCCTGTTGCCAAGGTCGGGAAGCACCTGCTGTAGGAGAGCACATCGTGGTGAGGCAATCCCAGTGGGGGAGATCTGGTTTTGGAGGTGAGAAGGTGCCACGAAGGACCTCCTGCTACACAGGAGCCCAGCATCGTGAAGCGTAAGAGGCCAGGGCGGCATCCAGTTCACGGAAGCTAATAATTACACGCAGTCCTCAACTTATGTCCGCAATTGAGCCCAAAATTTCCGTTGCTAAGCAAGACAGTTGTTAAGTGAGCCTTGCCCCATCCTACCACCTTCCTTGCCTTCCTAACCTTGCCGTTGTTAAGTTAGTGACACCGTCGTTAAGCAAACGCTGCTTCCCCCATTGACTTTGCTTGTTGGAAGGTCGCAGAAGGGGATCACGTGACCTCGGGGGGGGGGGGGTACTGCAATGGTCATAAGTACAAGCCAGTTGCCAAGCCTCTGAATTTTGATCACGTGACCACGGGGAGGCTGCAATGGTCGTAATGTGAAAAACGGTCATAAGTCAATTTTTTCAGTGGCTTTGCAACTTTGAATCGTCACTAAATGAGTGGTTGTAAGTCGAGAACTACCTGTACATTGTACTCTTTGCTGCTCAAACACACACACACACACACACACACACCGGAGTCCTGTTTCCTTTGCTGGCCATTTGAGGGGAGAAGCTGGAGCGGTCCCAAGAGGATCAGGACGTAGAAGTCAAGCCTCCAGGAAATGGGCCCATTGAGCTGACAAGAGAGGAGACTAAGGGGAGGAGGAGGGGTTGTGCATGTGTGCAAATACCCCAAAGGCAGCCCCCTGCAGGAAAAGGGGGTGGGGCGGGAGGCAGATGGTGCACCCAGGAAGCTTCTTGCAAAAGCTTGCAATTAAACAGAGAGAAGGATTTAGGGAGAGGTGATGGGAAAATGAATAGGTGGCCATATAAATGAAAGAAAGAAAGAGGAAGGAAAAAGGAAGGAAGGAAGGAAGGAGAGGGATGCAGGGAAGCGGGAGGAGGGGGAGGAGGATGAAAGGAAGAGAGAGAAAAGAAAGGAAGAAAAAGGGAAAGGGAGGGGGAGGGAGGGAGGAAGGAAGGGAGGGAGGGAGGGGAAGGGAGGAAGGGAAGAGATGGAAGGAAGGAAAAGGAGAGGAAGGAAGCAAAGAGAGGGAAGGAGGGAAGAAGAGGAAAGGAAAGAAAGAAAAAAAAGAGAAAGAGAAAGAAGAAGGAATGGGAGGGAGGGAGGGGGATGAAGGAAAGGAGGGAGGGAAGAGATGGAAGGAAGGAATTATGGATGGAAGTTGCTGTGAAGCAGGGGAAGAGCTTCCCCTAAGGCAAGGGGGGAGAGCCCCCCTCCCCAGAGACCTGGAACAGGGCCCGGTGCCCCCATCCGAGCGGTGGGGGAGGAAGTTGGCCCCTTCCGACTCCTACATCTGACGGAACTAGGATAGGATCACCAGGAAGAGAAGCGTTGGCATGGCATGGCAAACACTCTAATTACGGGGTGGTTTTTTCTGCCCCATTGTTCCGCTGGGCCCCCTTTTGAATGGTTGGAGCAAGGAACCTGATGACTAATATTTGCCAACGCAGGCCTCCTGTAAGATGATCCAGCCTCTGGGCAGAGAAGCCAGGAGCTCACACGAAGGTTCACAAGCCACCCTTTGCCAGTGGCTCCCAACTCCTGCGGGGGTCAGAAGTTGAAACGGGGCAGGAGAGCTGTTGGCAGGGAGGTGAAAAGGGGGGGGGGGGGGGAGGTGATTCGAAGGTTGGAATTGAAAATCCGTGCCTATTGTTGTGCCTACAATGCCTGGGCTTAGTTGGGACTGCCTCCAGGAGTTTTATCTTCCCCCAAAGCTTTTTATTAAAGTTTGTTTTAAGTTTAAAATAATTTTGAACAAAAGAAACAAAAGTTAAAAAACTAAGTAGGAGAATAAGAGAGAAACTCATCTGACTGGTCTCTGGCTTGGGCAAGGGGTTGGACTAGATGACCTACAAGGTCCCTTCCAACTCTGTTAATCTAATCTAATCTAAAACCTTCAGCAACAGGTGATCTACCTGTTCTTCGTTCTTCTCTTTGCTCTAGGGCCCACAAAACACCCACCCTCCCTTCTCCCTTCATGAACTTAATCCTGCCATCCTCTCTCTCTCTCTCTCTCTCTCTTTCTCTCTCTCTCCTCTCTCTCTCTCTATTTCTCTGTCTCTCCTTTCTCTCTCTCCTCTCACAGAGAGGAGGAGGAGGAAAAGGAGGAGGATTGAGGGGTCCTTGGTACTCTCTGAGAACTAGAAGGGAGAGGGGTTTGTGAGGAGGAGGAGGAGGAGGGGAGGAGGAGGGGGAGGAGGAAGGGGAAGATAGCCCAATCATGCTGGTAAAATTCTGCCCTTAAAGCTCAATAAAAGAGGCTTTCCCAACTTTGGCAACTTTTAAGACGTGTTTCCACAATTCCTCTCTCGGTCTCATAGAGTCTTTTTCAACTTCAGCCACTTTGAGAAGTTGAGCTTTAACTCCCAGAATCCCCCAGCCAGAAATGGGAGGGCCTTGGCTTAGGAGGGGAGGGGACCAGAGACCGTGCACCCCATTTCACCTGGCTCACCCACATGTGATGAGAGGGAGATGGCAATGTGCAAGCCGGGGGCGGAGGGGGCAGGGGGGAGGGGGGTGGGGGGGGGGGGAAGATGGGGATGTGTGAAGGGTGTGTGTGAAGGGACCTCTTCAATTTCTTGCTTTGTCAGATCAGTTCTACTTCCCGGGCGATGTCCTTCAAGATGGTGCCCCTTCTGGAGACCAGCTGTCAACCCAACTCTTCAGAAACCAACAGGTAACGGGCAACATCCCCATCCGGACTACTGCAGTGCGCTCTACGTGGGGCTGCCCTTGAAGACTATCTGGAAGCTTCAAATGGTTCAAAAGATGGCAGCGTCTTGGTTCTGGGCAAGCCTAGATTTGCACACACGTCACCTCTCTCGCAGGAGCTGTGTGGGCTGCCCATTGGTTTCTATGTCTCATTCAGCAACTTTAAGATGGGTGGGGACTTCAACTCCCAGAATTCCCCAGCCAGCCATGAACGATAGAGTTGGAAGAGTCCAGAAGGATCGCCTCATCTAGTATTTCTCAACCTGGACAATTTTAAGATGGGCGGACTTCAACTCCCAGAATTCCCCATCCAGCCATGAACGATAGAGTTGGAAGAGAGCAGAAGGATCGCCTTCTCTAGGATTTCTCAACCTGGACAACTTTAAGATGGGGGGACTTCAAGTCCCAGAATTCCCCAGCCAGCACATTCAGGCTGTCAAGATTGAGACACGCTGGTGCCATTCAGACCGGTATCTAGAGAAGAGGAAGAACACAATTTTAATGCTGAACTAACTAATTAAGACTACGAGTAGTCCTTGATTTACAATCACTGTTGGTACCGGTTTTGGTTACTAACCAAGGCGGTTGTTAAGTGAATTGGATCCAATTTTATAAACTTTTTTTTTTTTTTTTTGGCCACGGTTGCTAATGGCTGACTGGGGGAATCCTGGGAATTGAAGTCCCCTCATCTCAAGGTCACTGAGGTTGAGAGACACTGTTCTACACCATTGGAGGTAGGAGAAGAAGTTCTCAAAGATCAAATACCAAACCCTTCACAAGTCACAGGCAGGATGTCAGCTGAGATGTTAACCTCATAGAATCCTAGGGCTGGAAGGGACCTTGGAGGTCATCTAGTCCAACCCCCGGGCCAAGGCAGGAGTCCTCATACAATCCTGGAGAAAGAGTTGTCCAATCTTTTCTTGAAAGCCTCCAGTGATGAAGCACTGCAACTCCAGGAGGCAATTTCTGTTCCACCCATTCATTGTTCTCCTTAGTTCCAGGTTGAGTCCAACCCCCTTCCCCATCTCTCTTCCTTTGTAGCTGCGGGACATCTTGGTCCAGAAGGAGGTGGAGCTGGCTCGGCTGCAGGAGGAGAACCAGCATCTTAGACACTTCCTCAACTCGGCCATGGTCAAGCAACTGGAGGAGAAGACCAAGGTATCTATCCTCTATGTATCTGCAGCCAGACCAACTCTGGACTTCTTGGTGCAAAGAAACCTTCCCCCAGCTTCATTTAACTGATGTTGGAGGGGGGGGAGGTCCTGTGGGGCTGGGGTTCCCCAAAAAATCAAAATAGTACTTGAAGAATGAGTTTTTCACTGTTCTCCAAAAGCCTGCCTATTTTAATCTGTTGATTCTATGCCATCAAGCTATAATAACTCTTAGCGAGGCCAGTGAGAAGACTTTTTCCAGGAAGATTGTCCCCAGTCTGGTCCTTCAATGGTGCCTCCATCACCTTTATCTGTCACTGAGCTTCTCTTTCCTTCCACCATTCCCCTGCATGGTGGACTTCTCAAAGGAGCTGGGTCTCTGCATTGATTGATGGTTTAATGCTATCAGATCAGTGTTGACTCTTAGCAGCCCAAAGGATCAAGGTTCTCCATGGCTTGATCTGTCTCCAGCCTGGTCCTTCAGTTCTTCCTATCACTCCTGTAACCGAGTCCATCTTCCTTGCTGTCCGTTGTCCTCTTCTTCTCTTTCCTTCCACCATTCCCAGCATGATGGACTTTTCAAAGAAGCTGGTTTTTGCATTGATTGATGGATTGATTGAAGACTATCAGATGACTGTTGACTCTTAGCAGCAAACAGGATAGATGTTCTCCATGATAATCTGACCTCAACTTGGTCCTTCAAGTCTTTCAACCGGGCCCCATCACAACTGAGTCCATCTTCTTTGTTGCTGGTAGTCCTCTTCCTCTCTTGGCTTCCACCTTTCCCAGCATGATGGGCCTTTCAAAGCGTTGGGTCCTTCAATAGATTGGTTGATTGATCAGTTGATATTGCCTGTCAGCCACCACAGACAGAATTTCTCCAGAAATATCTGACCCTCATCCTGGCCCTTTAGGTCTTTTAATGGTGTCCCATCACCTCTAACTGAGTACATTCCTCTGTCTGCTGGTGGCCCTCTTCTTCTTCTTCTTCCTTCCACCTTTCCTACCATGATGGACTTTTCAAAGGAGATGGGTCTTTGCACTGCTTGGTTGATTAATTGATCAGTTGAGTAGATGCCATCAAGTTGGGGTCAACTGCTAGTGATCTCATACCATAGATAGACCTTCTCCATGGTACTTGTCCCTAACGTAGCTCTTTCAAGGTTGGACTTATTACCATTATAACTAAGTCCTTCCACCTTTCTGCTGGCCATCTTCTTATTCTCCTTCCATCTTTCCCAGAATTACAGCCTTCTCCAGAGAGTTTGATCTGGAGTTTGGTCTGCACATCTTTTGTACATCTTAACCATGGGATCATTTGAACTGGTCAGTTGTGCCTCAGTGGAGGACTCTGGGTTGATTAATGCACAATATCCCTTTTTATTTGCAATTTTAGGGCTCTAGATTGTGCCACAACTGGCAAATGAGCTTGGATAGCTCAGCAGACTAATGCATTGTAATTTAACTCCAGCTGTCTGCAATTAGTAAATTCGAATCTCACCAGGCTCAAAGTTGACTCAGCCTTCCATCCTTTCTAAGGTAGGTAAATTGAGGACCCAGTTTGTGGGGGCAATAAGCTGACTTTGTATAAAAATATACAAAAGGATGAAGGCTGTTGCTTAATGCATTGTAAGCTGCCCTGAGTCTCCGGAGAAGGGCGGCATATAAATCAAATTAAAAAAAAAAAGTCAAATATGTCGATCCAGGAAGACCAAATTATGTTTCCTTCTTAATTCAGTCTGAACGCACAACTCCCCATGTGGGAGGCCAGACAGACAACAGATATATTTCATTAAGGTTCATGGTTCATGAGACTGCAGGCTAGAAACTGGGAGAAGGGGAGTTCTAGTCCAGTCTTAGCCATGAAAGCTGGCTGGTTGACTTTGAGCCAATCACCAGGAGACAGTGAGTTCTAGTCCCACCTTAGGTGTGAAAGCCAGCTGGCTTATTTGTAAAAATAATAAAGGCAGGATATAAATAAATAAATCCATCCCTTAATTTTTTTTATCTGAATAGGATACCCGGTCCTGCCTGGCTCATCCATCTTCTCCTCTTTCTTCCTCCTCCCGAACAGAAGCTGCTTCTCCTTCAGGATGGCCAGGATGTTGATGGGACCTCCAAGATCGGCAAAAGGCACCGGAAGACCGAGAGCCGCGTGGCCCACGAGGGGCGCCACCCGCCAAAGGCCAGGCGGAACCGCTTGGGCGCTTTCTCTGCCTGCGAAGAGCAGCCGACGCCTCCCGTGGACTCCTGGGTGCTGCAGACCCTCGGGCTCAAGGATGTGGACACCGTGGACGAGTCAGCTAACTACAGTGCCTCAACCCTGGACCTTCCCCCTTTGGGGCCTTCTCTTTGGGGTCCCTTTGGGGCCTCCGATCCGGGCGTCAGCGAGGGTCAACCTGGTGGAAGCATCCCCTTGACCTCCCTAGCGGACAGCACTGCCAGCCCCTTCCCCTCGCCCTGCTCACTGCCTTGCCTCTCCGACCGCCCCTCGCCAGCCAAGATGGATGTGGCCTTCACCACGTCTCTGAGCCCCCATTGCAATGTGAAGACCCATACCTTCCGCCAAGGACAGGCGTTTGTGCGCCGGGATGAAGACGGAGGGTGGAAGCTCACTTGGGTCCCCACCCAGTCAGAATGAGGCCTTTCCCTACCAGCCCAGATGGCCACTGGACAGCCATTTGTCCACTCTGCTGTAGGGTCTTCTGCTTGGGCAGGGGGTTGGACTAGAGGACCTCCAAGGTCCCTTCCAACCCTGTGATGGTTGGAACATCAAACAATGTTCTACTGCCATTGAAGGATGTGTTTACAGAGGAGAGTGATTTCCTTCTAATATCTCAACAAGCCCATGTTGCACTGCGTCAAGAACGGAAGGATTATAACCATAATTATTGTCATGATTCTGTTGGCAACATTCATACACAGCCATAGGAAGATTGGCCATCAGGGCCACACAATGTGCCAGAGATGAACAGCGGTTCAAGAGCAGAAAGTGCCTCCAGATGTGAGGAAGAGAAGCTGCTGAGATGATCCCTTCCTTGGGTCTTCTGCTCTGTAGAGATTGTCATGACCAGTTGAGTTCAAGGAAAAGGTACTTGCTTGGAGGACTTGTCAACTGACCTGGAAGGCACTATCCATCTTGCATGGAAAATGAAGACAACTTTACTTGCTCAGAGTAGCCTTCCAAAGCTCCACTATTCTGATCAAGAAACCCCATGAGATGCCTGCTCTCTGGTACGGCTGCTATTGTTGTGTTAGTACCAGAACATGGGAGAGACATGGCCCACAAATGCCTGAAGAAGACCTCTGCAAGGTTCAAAAACCTGCCAGTTAACTCTTATGAAGGAAACCTTCTTGTGAAGGACCTCATGGTGGACAGTCTCTCCTGGCTCTCAAAAGGCTCTCTCCTATGCTGCTTCTGCTTATTTTTTTGCTTTGCCCTAAGTGAAGTGCATTCTCTGAGTCCCATCTGCCAAATATTTCGAAAAGTTAGTTGATAGGCTAAGATCAGGAAGATCTAGAACTTTGGAAACATTAGGAGAGACATAACTGATGGGTTAAGATTAAGAAGGAGAAGTCAGAAGATCTAGAACTTTGGAAGGAGAAACATAGCTGAGTGGCTAAATTCAAGAAACTGAGAATTCAGAAGATCTTCCGAAATGTTAGGAGAGATGTAGATGATGGGCTAAGATCAAGAAGGGGAGAATTCAGAAGATCTAGAACTTCAAAGCTCTCAGGAGAGTGGGTTTTTGGAGAAGGTTTTTCCCCGTATGACCTACTTGGTGCTTTTTTTTAAATATTCCATGGAGTTGATGCAACTAGATTTGTCAGCCTCTTCCTAGCTATTTTCTAGGTTTTGTGGCTTCAAATGATTTTATTCAACAGAAACTGGGAACTTACAGTTTGTATGATGGACTCATGTTTATTACAGCTATTATTGCAATTATTACACTCAAACTAATTGGCCCTTTGGACCTCTGCCTGATATTCTTCCCAAATTAAGATCACATAGAGAGAAAAATAGAGAGATGTTTCCAGTATCTCTTCTTCAAGCAATAAAGCAACATATTAACTTCCTGGATTCGATAATCGTTTTCTGCACTTATTCCAAAAGCCGTTGAGCGCCAAAGCATCCATAAATAAGAATAAGAGGGTTTGGGGGTGCATGAACAGATGTATGTCCTGCTCTCTTTGCAGTCTCTTGGGGATTTCTTGATTTTTCTCATTCACCTTGGTTCAAACGGGTGAAATGCTCCCAGTTTGGACCAGATCACCCGATCCGGTAGCGATGGAGGCGGGTGGTTCGGAGTAGCAGTAGTAAAAATCCCTGCGCCTCCCCCCGTGCCCAGCTAAGCTGCGCAATCATCAGAGGCTTTTTTTTATTTTTAAAAGCATTTTTTCTACAACCCCTTCAGCTGAAAAAATGCTTTTAAAAGTTAAAAAAAAGCCTCTGATGATCGTGCGGCTCAACTGGGATCGTCAGAGGCTTTTAAAAGCATTTTTTCTACAACTTCTTCGGCCAAAGAGGTTGTAGAAAAAATGTTTTTAAAAGGGAAAAATGCCTCTGACGATCAGGCAACTCAGCTGGGATCGTCAGAGGCTTGTAGAAAAGGTTGTAGAAAAAAATACCTTTAAAAGGCTCTGATGATCCCAGCTGAGTTGCCTGATCTGCAGAGCCTTTTAAAAGCATTTTTTAACAACTTCTTCGACTGAAGACATTGTAGAAAAAATGCTTTTAAAAGTAAAAAAAAAAAAAAAATTGGCCATGCCCACCCAGTCACATTACACACACACACACACACACACACCCACACACACACACCAAGCCACGCCCACCGAACTGGTAGTAACAAATTTTACATTTCACCGCTGGGTTCAAACTTTGCTTTTCGGGGCTAATTGCCTCAAAGGAAGGAGGGCTGGGGGGCTAATTCCTAGGTGGATAAACAAGCTTCTGCATTGGTGCCTTTTGACTTCAGAATTGGGAGGCTGCCTGGGCCTTTGAGTGCATATTAATTAATGGCTATTAAATTAGTGCAGTCTGAGCCCAGCTAAAGCACTGGTGGAAAGATCAAAGTGGGTAGCAGGAAGATTCCTTTGCTGGCAGAGCCCAAAGTTCTCCAGATAGAAGACTCTCAGGATTTGTGTTGTACACAAACTCACACAGACACAAACACACAGACAGACAGACAGACAGACAATCAAATACAAACTGAAAATTCCCCATAGTTAGTTGAGAACAATTAACCCGTAGAAAACCTGGCCTTCAGAAATTGTGGGTGCTCCATCACTGGAGGCTTCAAGGAAGAGACTGGACGGCCATTTGTGTGGAATGCTCTAGGGCAGAGGCCTTCAAACTTGGCAGCTTTAAGACTTGTGGACTTCCACTCCCAGAATTCTCCAGCCAGCTTTGCTTTCCCAGACTCCAGATGTACAGATTTCCTGAGAGTCCCTACAGCTCTATGCTCAGAGGAGTTCTGGGAGTGCACTAAATTCAGAACTACCAAACTTTAAGTGATGCTTCCCCAGCTCTGTGTCTAAACCTAACAACCTAGATTAAGAGCGCAGGGTAGATTTGGGAATTCTAGAAAAGCTTCCTCAAGCGGAAGTCCATTGGGACACTGACTCCAGTGTGGGATTCAGCCGTTCGCACCCCTTCGGGACAACCGGTTGTTAACTCTCTGAGCAGTTTGGCAAACTAGTTGTTGGAAGAAATCATTAGGGCAAAGAACCGGTTGTTAAATTACTTGAATCCCACCACTGACTGACTCCCATGGTTCCCAGCAGCAGAGACTAACAGCCAGGTGGACTGGATCGTACCAGGGTTAGCAGCACCAAGCACATCTGGACAGGAGTCATGTTTGGGACAGGGAAGAACCCCAGTAGCCTGGTTCTCCTGGCAATATTTTAACATTTCTGCCAATATTCATTATATTTTAGCACAGAGGTCTTCAAACTTGGCAGCTTTTAAGACTTGTGGACTTCAACTCCCAGAATTCTCCAGTTGACTTTGATTTGATGGCACATAATGAATTGGTCCATCAGTCAGTGCAAAGACCCAGTTCCTTTCGAAGTCTTTCTCTCAGGAACTGAGAGGAGAACCAGGTTAAGAACCTAGAACTTTTCACCCTGGAGAAGATCTATCCTTGTGGCTGCTAAAAGTCGACATTGACTTGATAGTACATAATCAAAAAACCTTCAGAATACAAAATGAACGACACGGAAGGGACCTTGGAGGTCTTCTAGTCCAACATCCAGCAGGAGACCCTAGACCAGAGGACAGAGCTTTGCTGGCTGGAGAATTCTGGGAGTTGAAGTCCACAAGTCTTAAAGTTGCCAAGTTTGAAGACCTCCTGCTGGAGTAGGGTGTTGGACTAGAAGACCTCCAAGGTCCCTTCCAAGTCGTTGATTTTGTATTCTGAAGGTTTTTTGATTATGTACTATCAAGTCAATGTTGACTTTTAGCAGCCACAAGGATAGATCTTCTCCAGGGTGAAAAGTTCTAGGTTCTTAACCTGGTTCTCCTCTCAGTTCCTGAGAGAAAGACTTCGAAAGGAACTGGGTCTTTGCACTGACTGATGGACCAATTCATTATGTGCCATTAAATCAAAGTCAACTTTTGGGGACCACTTAGACAAATGTACTCCATGACAATCTGTCCCCAACTGGGCCCTTCCAATGGCGCCTCCATCACTTCTATAACTGAGTCCATCCCTCTTGCTGTTACTGGTCCTCTGCTCTTTGTCTCCACCTTTCCCAACATTATGGGCTTCTCAAAAGAGCTGGGCCTTTGCATTGACTGATGGATTGATTAAATGCTACCAAGTCAGGCTTGATTCTTAGCAGCCTCGATGTCTGATCTGTCCCCAAACTGGTCCTTGAGGCTTCTACCTGTCTCCTCATCACCACTATAACCGTCCAGCTTCCCTGGTATTGGTTGTCCTCTTCTTCTCTTGCCCTTCCATCTTTCCCTGCATGATGGACCTTTGAGGAGCTGGTCTTTGCATTGATTGACTTATTGATTGATTGATCCACTCATCATGTGCCATCAAGTCAGGGTCAACTTTTAGTGACTGCATGGATAGGCCTTCTCCATGGTGGATCTGTCCCTAAGCAGGTCTTCCAATGGTGTCCCCATGATGGACTTCTCAAAGGAGCTGGACTTTTGCTTTGATGAATTGATGAATTGATGATGTGCCATCAAGTCTGTGTTGATTCTTAGTGAACCACATAGATGGACCTTCTCCATGGCTGATCTGTCTCCGGTCTGGTCTTTCAGGTCTTCCATTGGTGCCTCCTTCACCATCCTGAGATCATCCATCTCATCACGGGTTGTCCACTTCTCTTTCCTTGAAGCCTGATGGACTTCTCAAAAGAGCTGGACCTTTGTATTGATTGATTGATTGATTGATCCACTCATCATGTGCCATCAAGTCAGGGTCAACGTTTAGGGACTACATGGATAGGCCTTCTCCTTGGTGGATCTGTCCCTAAGCAGGCCCTTCAGATCTTCAAACGGTGCACCCATCAACATTGTAGCCAATTCCCTCCATCTTGTTGCTGGTGTTCTCCTCTTACCTTCCACCCTTCTTAGCATTACAGTCTTCTCCAAAAGAGGAAGGGGAATTGAAACCAGAATGTTCTTTTAGAACGATTATTCCAGATTTCAACAGGGTGGGTCCCATTCCCCTGAAACCCACCCTCCCCTTCTCACCACCCACTGCCCTTATTAACCTACATATTCCTGGTCATTCTAATGCAGTGTTTCTCAACCTTGGAAGCTTGAAGATGGATGGACTTAAACTCCCGGAATCCCCCAGCCAGGGGGATTCTGGGAGTTGAAGTCCACCCATCTTCAAGCTTCCAAGGTTGAGAAACACTGGTCTAATAACTCTCATTCATATCTTTAGAACAATGCAGAATCGCAAGTAGTTTAATTTCATAAGTAGCAATTTAATGTTATAGCTAGTGCTGTATTAATTATTTAACATGACGCAAACTCTGATTATGATCTTGGTGCATATGTTTTCATATTCAAAGCTCCATTCGGTAAAAATGCTGGACTCTTGGTATACTTAAAGGAGAATTTGTTAGCTCTGCTACAGATTTGTACATCTATACATTTTTGTATTTTTATTATACAAATATTTAATAAATAATATTTAATAATAATAACAGGAACAAGAACAAGAACAATGATTTCCCAAATGTGCTTTTTTCAAGAGGCTACTGGACTTTCTGGGGAGCATAAACCCTTCCCTTCCCCACCATCTGGCCAGAACGGGAGAAGCTTCTTAGGTGAGAAGCGAAACGTCTTCAAAGAAAAACCAGAAGGTCCAATTGCCTCTTGAAAAAAAAGCACCTCTGGAACAATTATGACCTGGATGATGGAGAGGCTCCTTGGACCTTAATATTATTTATTAAATATTTAGTATTATTTAATTAGTTTTTAATAATGTTATGTATTAAATATTAATAAATATTTGTATTATACAGATCTAGAATATTTGTAGCTCCGCTGGCTGGGGAATTCTGGGAGCTGAAGTCCAGAGGTCTTGAAGTGGCCAAGATCCAAGGCTACCAAGTCACCCTGTCTTTGTTGTCGTTGTTGTCAGTTGCGACCCCATGGACAACTTTCGTCCAGGCCTTCCTGTCCTCTACCATCCCCCGGACACCCTGCCTTAGAGCTTTTCATTTTCAACCCCTACAAGTGGGGTCCCACCAAGGCCCCCTTTGAACCGGACTGCTCTTACTGAAGTCGTGGTTTGGCTGGAGGAGGAGGACTTCACCGGGCAGAAGGCTGGCCAAACACCCACGGGAAGAGGGTGAAAGCGGGCAGATGAAAGCCCCACGGAAGAAAGAGAGTCCTGGAAAGGTCCGTTGTGCTTGACTTCTCTGAGGGCCAGTTGTGTTATTGATTAACCCCCGATGGGGTTGATGAGTAATTGTGGGCCAGGTGGCATCAGAGGGAGACGTTCCTTCCGTAGGAATGCAGATGGAGGTCTGGCCCATCAAGGACACCGGGTCCCTCCAGATCCCTCGACCTCTGCAGGTCAGGTTTGATCTTCCATCCAAGCTTCT